AAAAAGAGAAAAGACAAATCATGTAAGAAGTTTAGTTAAAAAAAATAGATCTGAAATTACAGATAGTTACAAATACTAAATTACAAGGTCATAATAAATGATAGAAGTGTTATAAAAAAAGAAATATAAGTTTGTCATATATTATCTCTTTTTTCTATATTATCTATATTATCTCTTTTCTAACACTTCATTTATTATGACTCATTTGTAACTTAATGTTTATTACTTTAACTGACATTAAAACTCATGCATAAATTCTAAGCAGAATCATAAGGTTCTTAACATATTCTTGTAAGACTTGTAAGAATTTTTAAACGCTTGTACCTTTATACAATATTTTTACAGACAGCTTCTTATTAACCATAAAATTTACAAGAAATTAGAGATATTTACAAATAATCATACGTCTTACGATACATATGCATAAAATTAGAATACTAGTCATAAGTTTTTATATATACAAGTTTTACGAGAATATGTTACGAGTCTTACGATTCTGCTTAGAATTGACCCATTAACTTGACTCTTTAGTCTTTCAATTATATTATTTATATATTTCTGTATCACAAGTTTTCTGTATAAATTTCTCCGCTTACATTGAGTAATCCTGGCGCACTGGTAATTTCACTATGCTCATTGCACCAGGGATGGCTTATCGGTGGGGAAACTCTAAGTACTGGCTTCTCCAACGGAAAATTCGGCGACAGGGAAACCATAATAGCCATTCGTCTTTCGCCAGCTTGAAATTCCACCTGATAGTCCACATTTTCTCTGAGCTCTATCACACTGCAAGACATTTATTGCATTATACTTTCCACAAACACTTGCGGCCAAATAAAAATCTACGAGACCAAATGTGACCTTGACCCAGCATTAATCTTAATGCTATTAGCTCAATGTCTTACATCTGCCCGTCACAAATATTCATTCGAAACGTCATTTGCGAGATATTAGACAATGACGCAAATGCCATTTCGAGAAAAAAAATCTTGGAAGCGATCGCTACTGTCATGATGGGAGGAACTCGTGACCATTTCCGATTGTGTCGGGAGAGCACAGCGCTACGAGAATAAGCGAGGAATCTAATTGTTTTCGCGATATAGATAGCCATTCGTAGGGCGATATCGAGTTAATATCGACGATAATGTGGCTCAAGTAAGGTTAACGCGAAAGATTACAATATCGACGGGAGGGGAGGAGTAGCTCTTGCGACGACAACGATGACGAGAATTCACCCTTACTTGTCGTTAAAGATTTTCAGAGTGTCGATTTGCCGTTTGCGTTTGACCGCGATATTCTCGATTTCCCCACGGAATATTCGCGATATCATTTAAGTGCCTGGATTTCCGATAGATCTCTCATCCGCTTGATCGTCGTCCCTGTCAACGCGACCATCCAGCAGAACAGCTGTTTTAACCTCGTCACACTTCACGTAGGACAGAAGGGTCCGATCGAGAATACGGAGTTCGCTTCGGTTCGGTTACTAGTTGCGCTTGTCAAACGGCGCCACTGTCGCCTTCCTCGCGCCAGACCGAAAGGGAGAGGGAGGGAGAGAGAGAGAGAGAGAGAGAGAGAAAAGGATAATAGGGAGAAAAAGAGAAAAGTAAGAGAGAGGTTAGAAAGAGAGGAGAAAGATAAAAAGAGAAAAGTCAGAGAAAGATAGAGAGAAGACACAAACAAAAGGAGAAAAAAGCCAATAAGAGAGAAAGGGGCAGGAAGGGAGGGTAGAAGGAGGAGGGAGAGAGAGAGAGAGGGAATACCCAGTCGCTACTCTTCACTCTTCAGTCGCGGCCTCAATCAAGGTCGAAAGTAGAGTTCTCTATGTTCATGAAACGTCTACATTGAACTACATAGCCGCATTTCTGAATCCTCTGTAGATAACGTTCTATATATTTTATATGTTGATTTCACGCTACGTTCGGAACATTGCTCAGCATTAATTGCTCCAACAAGCTTGGATCCGTAATGCTTTCGTTATACTCGTTACATTTGTTGTAAGAACTCGCACGTCAAGATCGTGTCAGGCAGGGGATGTAATTTATTTATCCGTGATTCTCGGATTTCAATGTTGACAACGTCAACACCAAGTCAGAAAGAAAATAACGCGATATATCGCTTCTGTAATATATAAAAAAGGTTTTCTGACGTGAAAATTGCGCCTTTTCGGAATTTTGCGGGGAACAATTAGATTATCAGATTTATTTTCCTTGAGAGGGACACATCTGATTTGAAGACTGTCGGAACTCTCTTACGTTTGTTGACGCAAGAAGGACTGTCTGTCCCGGCGGGCTTTATGAGCAAGCAGGATTCATTCTATAGTTAGGTGTAAGTGTCTCCCTGAGCGAGCGCTTACAACAGCTTACTGATACATCTTTGTTTTCCCCAGAAATTCGCGGTGGGCCGAAAATAAACGCGGAACCGGCGTGACGCCGGGAGCAGACGTCTCCTTTGACGCGATCATAGTGCTTGGCAGGCTCAGGAATCGCATCATGTCGTCCCTTATGCAGATAGACGGCAGTTTGGGCGAGGGTGTAAATATATATTAAACAAAAAGTCCTCTAAATATTATCATTTTCCTTAAAATTAAACACATGTACTATATATATTTTAAATATAATACAAATGTTTTTATCTTGAAAAAAAGAAGCAGTGCTCCAAAGTATTTTATTATCTATGTGTTTCTCTTGGATTTGTTTAATGTTATGATATGTCTTGTCTCCTAAAACATTTCGTATAATATTTAATGCGTGTTACATCTGTCAATATTGACAGCTATATCTTTCACTGTCTCTCTTATTATAGATTATTTATATTTTAGATAACAAGCAGTACTTCAAAATATTTTATTCTCTGTGTCATTTGAATTTGTTTAATGTTATGATATGTCTTGTCCTCTAAAATATTTTCTACAGTATTTGTATTGCATCTGTCAATGTTGACAGCTATATCTTTCATTCTCTCTTTTTAATAGACTAGACATGTTATATCTTATAAAAAGCAGTGCTCCAAAGTATTTTATTATCTATATACGTTTTTTGGATTTAACTGTTTAATGTTACAATATATCATGTCTTTTAAAACACTCTTATGTCCGTTTCCACCAATGTAGATTAACTTTAATCTCGGTTCAACTTACTCTTTATCTTTTTCTAATCTTTAAAACTAGAAAAAGAATAGATTGAACTGAAATTAAAGTTAATCTACATTGGTGGAAACAGATATTATAGTATTTAATTTGTCACATCTTTCTACGTTGATAGCTACATCTTTCACACCCACACACGCTCTTTTTTTTTCTCTCTCTCTCTTCCTTTTTCACATTTAATACATAAATCACTGCCTCTTAAAAAAAGCATGATATCTATAATACACAATAATCTTAATTCTTCTTTGAAGGGTGGGCAAGTGTTACGAATTGCTCTCAGCTTGAGCACGCTCTATGGCATCCCCATCGAAATCGAGAATATACGCGCTGGAAGGCCCAAGCCCGGTCTTGCGGCACAACATTTGAAAGGTAATCCAAAAGCAGAATTCAATATTTTATATTCGACTATATGAAGTAGAAAACTCAAATTTTGTTGTTATAGGTGTGGAACTTGTTAAGGAGATGTGCAATGCCCAAGTCAGAGGTGGATACATAGGATCGACACGTTTGGAATTCCGGCCCGGTCCACTAAACAAAACCAAGAAAACGTTTGTAGCAGACACGAAAACTGCTGGATGCATTTGCTTACTGGCACAAGTAGCATTGCCGTGTGCCCTCTTCTTTCCGTGTAACGATACGATCACGCTCATCCTTAAGGGTGGCACGAACGTCCCCATGGGGCCACACATAGAATATCTGACAGAAGTTTTCAAACCATTGCTGAACAAATTTGGAGCAGACTTTAATTTCATAGTTGTGAAGAGGTATGCACTCAATTTATAGTACCTGATCTTAAATTTTACGGCTATATTGTTCTATTTATACTAAAATTAATGACAAATGGAGGGGATATTATCCGAAGGGAGGAGGCGAGGTGCATTTACGCATAAAACCGATCAGTAGCTTAAACGCAGTTACCTTAATTGATCTGGGAAATCCTCGGGGAATAACAGGATGGTCTTATGTGGCTGGATCAGTTCACATAAATGTATGTATCACTTCGATTGAACCTACAAATGAATTCTCCTAGTAAATTTTGAATTAATTATGTTATATTTCATAGGAGGCGCATACAATGGCCAACGATGCCAAAGCAATTTTAACAAATAAATTAGTGAAAAGCAACATTCGAGTACCACCAATTACGATCGAAGCTTATAGGGAAGACAGAGCAATGGCTGTTGGAAACGGCTCTGGTATTAAGTAAGAAACTATTATATTAAAATTTTCTTTCCTAAGATCTGTTCTTTTTAGTTGAACTTCTTGCTGATCTTTTTTTTTTCTTCTTTCAACATGAAAAGAAAGAAAGCAAAGATAAACTGTGCAAAAAGTTCAATTAAAAAAAACAGGCCTTTTATTTCATTAGATACAGGTAAAAAAATTGACATAAATGTAAATATAAAATGAATATTAGTATAGTGTGTAACACCAGCACGGGATGCGTTCTCGGCGGCTCCGGATTAGGTTCTGGACGCCAAGAAGGACCACCGGCAGGTGAAACAGCGGCTAACGAGATTTTAAAGCCGCTCCTGGTAGGAGCATGTGTTGATGAACACACGCAGGATCAGGTAAGCGCGTAGTTAGTTCGAAGAGATACCTTAACTTTTGAATTCATGAAATTAATGCGTTATCTATTACAGATGATAATTTTAATGGCACTGGCGAAAGGTACTTCGCAGATCAAAGTCGGAGACAAGAAGCTCACTTGTCATACAGAAACTGCTATGCAGGTTGCAGAGATAATGTTGGGTAAACGCGGACTTCGCTTTAACTTGTCAAAAAGTGCCGAGGATGGGGACACTTCGTCTTATGTCTTGGAGTGTCAGGGATGTGGGTTGATTAACGACAATCTTAATTCGACTGGTTAAATAATGAACATATGATGTTTTATATTTATCGTTGCGCATGTGATTAACATGTATTTCGACGTAAGTATTATATCGATCAATTGGCTTTCGTATTTGCCATCGTTAAGTAAATTGCAACATCGACATTAATATTCATACATACTTTCGTAATTTTCAAGAATATTTTTAGGATTTTGTAAGAACATTGAAGTCGTTTAAGTAATATACAGTTCATTAACAAGCATCATTATATATACAATGTGCTATGGTTTTCTGTGTGCTAAATTATGATTATTTAATGTACTGTAAAATACCTAAAATTAACGCAAATCAAGCAGTTTCTAAATGAATACAAATTTGTCTCACATAAAAAACACCCTTTGATACATATACGCGCTACTATACATACAGGATAATGTATTGTAACATGTACTGAAAGTGCGTTATGATTTCAAAATGAGCCATTTACACACACATATTCGTCATTTATCATTTTAGAGGAATTATGAGGTAATAACACTATTCTTGTTTCGATCTGAAAAACGGTTCGATTGCCCGTAGAAACTCCTTCTCAAAGACTTGGCATGAGAAACGATTTACAGATGACCTAAAAAAATACGAAAAATCGATATATAAAAGAATCTTTATTTCATAATATTAAACAATTATAAAATATCCTTGATCTGTACCTGGCTGCAACTCTAATAGCATTTCGATTCTTTGGATGCATTTGTATGATGGACGCTAGTACTTTGGCATATCCCATCTCATCTTTTGCTAGAAAACCAGTTACACTACCCGTTCGTGTTTCTATGATGTCTGCCCTAAAATTAGAATATTTTTTTTAAGTAAACTTTTTATTAGAAAACCTTTTATGAGTCAATTCCATGGCTGAGCTTTCGTGATCGCAATTTTATTGAATTAAATGGAAATTATAATCAATTAGTAATTTTAGCAAATAAGTGGTTTCTTATGTCTGACACCCAATTCTGGTTATTAATGTTTGAGCATTACGGCATTAAAGCGGCAATGTAAGCTTCAAGTAAAAAATTGACAAATTACAGTCGAATATGAGGAAAATAATTGACTATGATTAATCAATTTATGGGTTGAAGCTTAAGTTTTATGCCTTAAAATCTCAAAGCTTAAATTTTACGCCTTAAAATCTCATTGTAGACGTCACTTAAGATTGCAGAGAGAAAGGTTGTCGCGAACCTGCGATCACGACAAAGTTGTACCGCGCTCGACAGTATGATCACATATTGAGCCAAATATATACCTCGGACCACCGGAAGCATGGGCCACCATAATTAATCCCGCTGCCATGCACTCCACGACGCCGATACCAAAATGTTCATTCCACATTGTATGCAGACCAATCGTTCCTTTTTGCATCTCAGACACAAGCTCGGAGTATGGTACATTCAACTTGAACTCGACGTTCTTGTCTAAAGCCAAGTATTTAGCCAAATCTTGCATATCTTTAACGCGCTTTTCGTCCTCGGCGTTTCGACAGGAACCGATACAGACTAACTTGACCTAAATAGCACGATCAAGTTTAGAATACATCTCGAGGCTATTGAGATAAATCGTCAGCTCACCTTTTCCCAGACTTCGTCCTTAAGAATAGATCTTAGCTCGAACATCGCCTTCAACATGAGTGGATGATTTTTCTCCGGCCTGAATTGCGCGATCGCAATTATGCGTATGCAATCGTTCTTTTCCTCATCGCTGAGGAGCGGCAGTTCAGTCAGATGCTCCACACTACACGGGGGATACACTCGATGCGTCTTCAGTGGACATTTCCAGATAGTATTGATATGATCTTCAGTCCACGAGGAATTTACAATCACGATGTCGGCGCAACTACCAACCAATCCGTAAAACTGAAATGTTCTATTATGAAATAACTGTTTGAAAAAACTCATCTACTTTTTCTTCACAAAACGATTATTCGGATTTGTATACTTACACGCGCGAATAATCTATAATAAAGGAATTTCGCTCCTGAAAAGAACGGATTTCTAGCGATGATCCTTCGATTGTTGTGCGCAACAACTCTCTTGTAGACGTACTTCAACATATCACTCGAAATAGTAGGATAGTGCGTATACGATCCGACTTGGCAACCACCGATGTATTTAAACAATGGATACGTAAACGCGTAACCCATCGTGTCGATGTATATGTCTACGATTTTTACAAGTATTATATAATTATGTGTTATTTGTATCTACTTTTATTTTGTTAATAGAAACTATAAAATAATACAAATATATTTTAAACCCATAACAAGAACACATTTTTTTGTGATGTTAAAGCAACATGTGAGTCTTTGGGACTCATTGAAGTTTCCTGTTATTAGCTTTATTTTCTTTATATAAGAATCGCAACATTTGAACTTAGTATAAATATAATATGATAATTAGTCTACATGAATAGAACAAAGCTGTGAAAAATAAAATTATTCCAAACCATTATATTACTTAAAAATTAGGAAAATGTTCGAGAGTTATGAGGATCTATATTCTAGTTACGAGTTAAACAATCTATTACATTACCTGGTGTAAGATTGTTTAACGCTTCGATGCCCAGATAGATGGATCCCAGGCTTTGTCCCAGAAGTGTGAAATAAGGATATGTAGAAGCCTCCACCCATTTTCGCCCATGCAAATAGATGAATTCGATGTTTGATTGTAATTTCACGTTGAATGTCTTTTCGGTTCGGCTAAGAATCTTTTCAGGATCTGCGTCAAGATCGCCGGTGTATATAGCTATGTGTACATCAGGATATCTAGAAGTATAAATTCAATACAAGATAAGAAATGCAATGGGTTTCCATTTGGTGACACAAATCAATATCATTCTATCTTTCTTAACATTCAGTGAGTAACAAACATAGAATGATACTTATTTCGACTTGTGTCATCAAATGGAAAGCATCTAATGGCGATAACAGTGCAATGTAGTTTTGATGAACAGATCACAAATATTTTTGATACCAAACACCTTTAATATGAACTTTACAAAAATATTATTTTGATACATACTTGGTTTGTATAGCATGAACCGCAGACCAAAGTACTCTTTCTCCTCCTCCACCTGCATTGCAGTATGGATGAAAGATACCGACAACCATTCCAGTCTGTTGTCTCTCCTCGCGCTTCTTTGAGTAAAGCTTTCTCCATTTTATCAATACAATTGGCAAAAGCACAAGTATACAGAGTACTTTAAGTAGAACTATTAACAACAGCATATTTATTAATAGAATTATGGGTGTTCTACAAAGATAAAGTCAAATTAAATATACATATTTATTGATATATTTTAACATAAAGATCATAAAGATACAATTTCTTGCTCGATATTACTACATAATAGAATATTACTACATAAGCAAGACTTTTATAAATATAATATAAAGCTGGTTAAATTACATGGCAGTCGGTACAAATGTTGCAACTGAGAATAGCCATTCATTCCTTAAGACAAATAATCTCATGTAACGCAAGATAAAAATTGAATTATTCCAAGATAACAATGAATAGAAGAAAACAGACTACGAATAATTGCAAAAAAATTAATTAATATTACGAAACATACAAGGCTTTTACAAATATAATCTGAAATTAATTAAATCAATATAAATTTTGAGACTAAGCGCAAAATTCTTCGCATCGAATAAGAGTCTAATTATTTCAATAAGGTACAATAAAAAACGGATAACTAGTCGCAAAATAGGATTCTTAACGCTAAATTTGCAGTTACACACCATGCAGGAGATCGCACTAACGAGCTGCTAACGAGCGGTATCCCTTACATTAAGAAGTAAACAATCATCATTCACGACTACTTGCAGATCTGCACGTGATACTGTTTGTCGAACTTGCCGACGTGTAATGTAACTTCGTAGCGGTCTTCAAACGGATGATCCTTTGCGAGCGAGGAAATAACCTCACAATAATCACAACTACACTGTCACGCGAGAACTAAACTAACCTCACTGACACGCGAGGACATATATCTCTCTCTTTCTATCTTATTGAGTATTTATCTTTGCGAGGAAATGTTTGATCCTCCGTTGACAATTAATAAATAACGTTGTCTTGTTCGCGAAAAATATATCTAGGAGAAAAAGAGGAAACAGATATCAATAAAATATAAAGTGTAAAGAAGTGCAGCTTTTGTTGCATTCAAATAATTAAATCGAGATTAAAGTTTATAATCTCCATTGACGTAAAACGAGCAATTCTCTTAAGTTCGAATAACGATTAAATTTTCATAATAACGAAATTTGTTTTCAAACGAATTTGAAATAATTGTCGCTGTTTGCATCTATTTCACAAAAAATATTAAGATCTGTAAAAGCATAAAATTAAAGCATTATAGCGTAAAATTTATTTTTTATAAAAAAGAGTGCTGTCAAGCTGTAGAATTAGGCACTATAGAAGAAATATATTAAGAATAGGAATAAAAATATTAAATATATAGAGGAATAAAAAATTAGAAATTATAAATTAACGCGTAATGTACAATAAATATAAGCAATAAATAATGGACCACAAATGAGATTTGACATAAAATGTCTTATTTTCATTTGGTGTTTACGTTTAATCTCTATTTCTAATTCTCTTATTTTTTCTAATATTTAATATTCATTCCCATTTCTTAATACTTTCATTCATATCTCACACATTAATTAATTTATATATCTGGACAATCAATTCTTTTATTACTCCCGTATTATATTATTTTTCCCGTCTTTGCAACAAATTGCTATATTATATCTTTAACGTTTAAAATTCTTTCTTTTTAATCAGCGTATAATCCGAGGACAGCCGCAGTCAGCTGTCTGATCTGTCAAGTTTGCTTCGAACAGTCAGCTGGAAATTGCAGGGATGCTGTGAAGCTTGCGTCGTGTGTCACGTGTGCACTCTTGTTGCGCGCGTGTGCACTCATTGTGCGCACGTCGCGTCGTCGGTCGTCGTGCGTCGTCATGCGTCGTCGGATCGCGTCGCCTCGCGTCACATCGCGCGTTAGAGTTGCCGCCTTGTTCTACCTTGTTCGTATCTGCGCTCGTCGCCGTCACCGTTTCCTCCATTCGCGCGGCCGATTAATCCACGCGACCGCTCCGTTCTCGTCCGCCGATACGAGATAGTCATCCTCACGCTTAACTTAGCGCGCTCATTTCGCTCCCGAAAAGGTACCTTCGTGTGGCGTTTAGGTTAGAAACCTCGCGCGAGTAGTGTCCGCATCGAACAGTGAACCGAGAAACACCTGTCCGCGTTGTGTGTGCTTTCTAACACATCGGACGTGGATCCTTGCCGATATACGCGTGGAGATGCTGAGGGGATGGTCGGTAGATTGGCATGATTCGCTCTAACACACCCGACCTGCGTCTAGTTATAAAAGAGAATGGAGATGGTGAAGAGAGTGGAGTCGGTGGAATGTCAAACCATAGATTCAGACAGTGACCCCATAGATACAGATGATGGTACGTCGAACCGCCTGTATTTCAGAAATCACCTCTTTTATTATTATTATTCTCCCAGATAGTTTTCCAATCCACTAAGGTCCGGTTTTTTATTATCCGATTAACTTGTGATTTAGACTTAACCTCTTAATGATAATGTAAAAGTTGTTTTGCTAGCTGTGATGTTTTTCTAGCTATGATTAATCACTAATATATAAAAGTGTTTAAGTTTAAAAGTAAGACTATATTCAGAAACACCATCCCATGTATCATTTTATCCTTGTTGTCCAATGTTAAACGAGGATAAAATGATACTTTTAGGGGCACTCGAGGGGGCCTCTAAATGTAGCCTGATATAGGCACGTAATATGTAAGGTCTGTTACTACAGTGTTTGGTCATTGCAATGGAATGCATTTATTCTTATCCAAGTACTCCCCAGATATTATTTTATCTTTGTTTGATATTCGGTAAACAAGGATAAAAGCAAGGATAAAATGATACCTGGATGGCAGTAGGGTAGGAATCTGAACATATCCATGGACTGCAGTAAACTTTCTATCTCACTTTCGCCAAATTTTAAATATATTTGCTTTTTCACTTTAAGTATAACAATGTACTGTCGTAATGCTTTAAAATTATTTTATCCTTGTTGTTTATCAAATGTTAAACGAAGAACAAATGATGCTCGCTGAGCATCAAGTGGAACACACCCTAAGTTCATTCACAAAGAATAAGGTAAGACAAATTCTGCTAAAAATGTGACACTATTATTAATAAAGAACTACTTATATATGAGTTTTTAATATGTATTAACGCAGTGCAATTGATTCTATTTCACCATTGGTAGATATTCTTAAACAAAAGAAGATTCTAAATTATAGAAGAGTTTTATGATACAGAAAGCTATTTATTTCAATGATAGGTTTGTTTCTTTGTAGCTAAACTAATGTACACTCATATTTAAAATAAAATAGATGCATATTTGAAGTTTAGGGCGAAAGTAAGATAGAAAGTTTTAGTCCCGTTTTCACAATATATGACCTAAATATTAAAGGTTATCAAGAAATTTATGAATTTCATTGATGAATCTCTTGGTAACCTTTAATCTTTAGGCGAGTCTTGGGTAATCACATGTTGTAAAAACGAGCCTTAGTGGGAGCTTTCCAAAGCTACGTTCAGAAATTTCATCCAGATACACCCAAATATCATTTTATCATTTGTTTAACATTCAGAATCACAAAGATAAAATGATACCTGGGTGCACTCGATTTCTGAACGTAAGAGAGATGCGTATCAATGCAAGAGGTATTCTGTTTTTCTCTTTCATTGAATACTGAACGAAAACAAAATGACTCCTGTGTCGATATGTCTTTTTTGAAAAATTCCCATTGCAATTCAATACAGTGATAAGAACAGGACAAGACATGAATCATTTAGCACGTCAAATAATTGACGATAATGTCTACTTTTAAATATGAGTAAACGATCCAAACCTTTATCTCTTAAAACTTTTAGCTTGTGATAACAGATAACAAAGAAAACAAATTCTATCATTTGCATAAAAATTGGTTTGTCTTATTAGCAGAGAAAATAAATACATTGCCTGACAATAAATGTCTTTCTTAGAATATTCCGTTATAATTTTCCTTTATATTATTAATCTTGTAACTTTTAAAACATTTAGTCTTTAAAATTAGCATTCCGTGATGCAAATTTAGCATTTGCATTTTTGCTCGTCAAATCATTGAGTTTTATATACGTTAACACGCATGAATGATCAAAAAATTTATTATCTTTAACAAGATAAAAATCTTTAGTCAATTTAGTTTTTTCACGATTTTAATATTGATACTTATTATTTTTTTAATTTAAATATATTGTTTAATTTGTTTCTTAATTAAAAAAAAATTTTGTTCCAATATACTCTCTCTGAAATTTCGTTTTGAATCACTAATACTCTTTCACGCACATGCTATTTATTAATCGACATTATATTGTTTAATTAAATTTACTTGCAGAGAGGATCGGAGCTGGAGATAACAAGGCACAAAATCGTTCTGCACAGAAAAGGTGAGTGAGATACTCATGTTTATATCTATGAATATTTTTTTATTTGAATGGAAATTTGAGAGGTAAATGTTTCTACTATTCATAGGATATCTATCCATAGGATGTCCCAGACTTGTATTTGTATTCCTTTTAAAATGAAGGAAAATAATTTTTATAACAAATCCTAAAAATTTTAATAAATAAATTAGGTACGTTCGAATAGTGATATTTTCCACTTTCGGTTCCGACCGGAAATGAGGTTTCTAGACCGGATGTTGAATTTTTTATCACAACAGAATTTACTTTTTTATTTACTTTCAAGATTATTTTAAAATCAATGAAGGTATTTTCAGAAGAATCGTTTGAAACAAAAGTTTCTTATTATTTCATATGTAATCCGAATATGTAAAAAAGTACATATTTAAAAAATTCAACATTCTGTCTGGAGTCCATTTCCGAATCGAAACCGAAAGTTTAAAATATTCGATACAGTGTACCCGATTTACTATCAAAATTTTTGAGATTTTAATCATTTTGCTTCATTTAAAAAGAGCGGTGTGGGAGACTGTATATATCTTAAAAAGATTTTGCGATTAATTACAATTTATAATTCAGAAACCTTGAGATAAATAGAACGTTGAACCAATGAATCATGCAAAAGGATTACGGCATTGACTTCAATTCTTGTTGCATGTTTTGTTGCAAGAACAAATGTCGTTTAAAAACTAAAAGTGTAATAATGTCC